AAAAAACAACCCCTTCAAAAAGTGGGTGAAGGATATGAACAGACACTTCTCAAAAGAAGACATTTATGCAGCCAACAAACATACAAAAAAATGCTCATCATCACTGGTCATTAAAGAAATGCAAATCAAAACCACATTGAGATACCATCTCACACCACTTAGAATGGTGATCATTAAAAATTCTGGAGACAACAGATGCTGGAGAGGATATGGAAAACTAGGAATGCTTTTACACTGTTGGTGGAAGTGTAAATTAGTTCAACCACTGTGGAAGACAGTGTGGTGATTCCTCAAGGATTTAGAAATAGAAATACCATTTGACCCAGCAATCCCATTATTTGGTATACATCCAGGGGATTATAAAACTTTCTATTATACAGAGACAGGCACATCTAAGTTTATTGTGGCACTGTTCTCCATAACAAATATGTGGAACCAATCCAAATGCCCGTCAACGATAGACTGGATAAAGAAAATGTGGCACATATACACCATGGAATACTATGAAGACATAAAAGGGATGAGTTTATGTTCTTTCCAGCAACATGGATGAATCTGGAAACTGTCGTCTCAGCAAACTGACACAGAACAGAAATCCAAACACTCCACATTCTCACTCATGAGTGGGTGTTGAACAGTGAGAACACACAGACACAGGGAGGGGAATATCACACATTGGAGCCTGTCTGAATGGTGGAGGCTAGGGCTGGGATAGCAGGGGATGGGAGCATTAGGGAGGGATAAAATTAGGAGAAATAACTAATTTTGATAACTGGGGCATGGAGGCAGCAAACCACCATGGCACATATATGCCTATGTAACAAACCTGCACATTCTGTCCATGTATCCCAGAACTTAGAGTATAATTAAAAAAAAAGAAAAGTGTAATTTGAATTGCATTCTAGTTATATTTCTGCAAACAAAAGGACTAAAGCAGAATATTTTAAAGTCAACCACAGAATTAAAGACTGTCTTCAAAGAAAACTCAATAATACTGAGAAGTTATTAACCAATTCTATAGAGACTAGAAGATAAACCCTTTGGAAATGGTTTTTTAAGACACTAAAATATAGCTGTTAAATTAGAATTCTGTGTCTATTACAAATATTCACTAAGTATTAAGATAAAATAAATACATTTATGAACAAGCATAACAGAAAATACATCTCTGGAAAATCTACAGAAAAGGAAAAACTAAAAGGAACTCTACAGGAAGAAGGAAAAATGTATAAAAATTGCATTTTGTAAAAGCAAAATAAATATATAAAATCAAGACCAAGAAAAGGAAAATGTTCTATCACTTGCTGGCATTTACATGTATTAATGAACACAATGGTAGCATATAACTAATGAGGCAGTAATAAGATTCAAAGGTCCTTAAAAAAAGGTAAGGGCCCAGCTAATATTAGACTTTGATAAGTCAAGATTAATATGATAATTTTTAGGTTAAACACACAACATTTTTTAAAAGTAGGACATGACCACAGAAACCTAAAAGGGTGAAATATAGAAAGGTCTCAGTAAAATAAATTTAAATCCAATTATATTTTTAATTACATTAAATACAAATGGATAAAAATCTAATCAAAGTAAATGTTGCTATACTTGATTTTTTATCACAGTTCTATTTGCTATTTACAGAAAATTAAGATAGAGGAAATATAAGAATAAAATAATGCAAAAAAGCTCCCCTACATAAAGATAAATTAAAACAAAACTGAGAAGGCATTATTAATATGCGACAAAGGAAACATTTAAATAAAGAGCATTCCTAAATAAAGAGCAGTAAATTTCATCGTGATAAGTGATTCAGTTTAACAGTAAAATATAATAATTTGAATTTTATTTGCAACAAATTAATATTAGCTCACCATATATGAAGCAAAAGGTTATACAACTAAAAATAGAAAAAAATGGTTTGGTAATTATATTTTTAAATGTTAATGGAATTCTCTTCTTGATAGAACAAAGGGCACAAGTTAATAACAAATGACTAGAAGAGCTAAGCAACATTCACAGGAATTATAACTTAATGAAGATATTACAGTGTGTATACTAAGAGTTATGTCACTGCATACAAGAACTGCAGAAAGAAAAGAGAAATTTTTAAGGAAAAGAGAATTTATATACATCTTTCATAGTTTCTTAGAATACAGCAAATAAAATAGAAAATGAATCAAACCTAAAAGCAGCAAAATTCTTCTGCATAAGATTTCAGGAAACACCTAGCTGCTAAGATTCATCAATTTAATTACAAAACTGGTACAAAGGAACAATAGAGTTGTGAAGGGGAAATTGAATTCTCCTAAGAGCAGTTGAAAGTCTATTTCTTGAAAAACCAGGACTCCTGATAACTGTTTTACTTATTTCACTGAAGATTTAGCTCTGAAAAGATTACAATAATGTTACTCTTTCCTTTTTTACTCTCTTTTTTTTTATTATTATACTTTAAGTTCTGGGGTACATGTGCAGATTGTGCAGGACTGTTACATAGGTATACACGTGCCATGGTGGTTTGCTGCATCCATCCCCCTCGATCTACACTAGGTATTTCTCCTAATGTTATCACTCCCCTAGCTCCCCCACCCCCAGACAGGCACTGATATATGTTTCCCTCACTGTGTCCATGTGTTCTCAGTGTTCAATGCCCATTTATAAGTGAGAACATGCAGTGTTTGGTTTTCTGTTCTTTTGTCAGTTTGCTGAGAATTATCGTTTCCAGATTCATCTACATCCCTGCAAAGGACACAAATTCATCCTTTTTTATGGCTGTACGGTATTCCATGGGGTATATGTGCCACATTTTCTTTATCCAGTCTATCTTTCATAGGCATTTGGGTTGGTTCGAAGTCTTTGCTATTGTAAACATTGCCACAATAAACATACGTGTGCTTGTCTTTATAAATGAACTATCTATAAACCTTTGGCTATATACCCAGTAATGGGATTGTTGGGTCAAATGGAATTTCTAGTTCTAGATTCTTGAGAAATCACACTGTCTTCCCAGTCGGAGAACTAATTTACATTCCCACCAATAGTGAAAATGCATTCCTTTTTTTCCATATCCTCTCCAGCATCTGCTGTCTCCAAATTTTTTAATGTTCGCCATTCTAAGTGGTATAAGATGGTATGTCAATGTGGTTTTGATTTGCATTTTTCTAACGACCAGTGATGATGAGCATTTTTAAAATACGTCTGTTGGCTGCATAAATGTCTTATTTTGAAAAGTGTCTGTTCATATCCTTCGCCTATTTTTTGATGTGGTTATTTTTTCTTGTAAATTTGTTTAAGTTCTTTGTAGATTCTGGATATTAGCCCTTTGTCAGATCAGTACATGGCAAAAATGTTTTTCCATTCTGTTGGTTGCCAGTTCACTCTAATGACAGTTTCTTTTGCTATGCAGAAGGTCTTAAGTTTAATAAGATCCCATTTGTCTATTTTGGCTTTTGTTGCCATTGTTTTTGGTGTTTTAATCATGAAGTCCTTACCTATGCCTATGTCCTAAATGGTATGGCCTAGGTTTTCTTCTAGGGTTTTTATGGTGTTACGTATTACATTTAAATCTTTACTTTACCTGGAGTTAATTTTTGTATAAGGTGTAAGGAAGGGGTCCAGTTTCAGCTTTCTGCATATGGCTAGCAAGTTTTCCCAACACTATTAAATAGGGAATCCTTTCCCATTGCTTGTATTTGTCAGATTTGTCAAAGATCAGATGGTTTTAGACGTGTGGTGTTACTTCTGAGGCCTCTGTGCTATTCCATAGGTGTATATCTCTGTTTTGGTACCAGTACCATACTGTCTTGATGACTGTAGCCTTGTAGTATAGTTTGAAGGCAGGTAGCATGATGTGATGCCTCTAGCTTTGTTTTTGCTGTTGTTATTGTTGTTGCTTTTTTTTTTTTTTTTGCTTAGGATTGTCTTGGCTCTGCAGGCACTTTTTTTTTCCATATAAAGTTTAAGGTGTTTTTTTCTAGTTCTGTGAAGAAGGTCAGTGGTAGCTTGATAGGGATAGAATTGAATCTATTAATTAATTTGAGCAGTATGGCCATTTTCACAATATTGATATTTCCTGACCATGAGCTTGGAATGTTTTTTCATCTGATCTTGTCTTCTTTTACTTCCTTGAGCAGTGGTTTATAGTTCTCCTTGAAGAGGTCCTTCACATTCCTTGTTAGTTGTATTCCTTGGTATTTTATTCTCTTTGTAACAATTGTGAATGGGGGATCTTCACGTTACAGCTCTGCGTTTTTCTGTTATTGGTGTATGGGAATGCTTGCAGACTGATTTTGTATCCTGAGACTTTGCTGAAGTTGCTTATCAGCTGAAGGAGATTTTGGGCTGACACGATGGGGACTTTTAAATGTACAATCATGCCATATGCAAATAGAGATGATTTGATTTCCTCTTTTCCTAATTGAATACCCTTTATTTCTTTCTCTTGCCTGACTGCTCTGGCTAGAACTTCCAATACCATGTTAAATAGGAGTGGTGAGAGAGGGCACCCTTTTCTAGAGCCAATTTTCAAGGGAATGCTTCCAGTTTTTGCAAACTCAGTATGATATTAGCAGTGGGTTTGTCATAGCTTTTATTATTTTGAGATATGTTCCATCAATACCTAGTTTATTGAGAGTTTTTAGCCTAAAGGGCTGTTGAATTTTGTGATGCCTTCTCTTCTTTTATCAAAGTAATCATGTGATTTTTGTCTTCAGTTCTGTTTATGTGATAAATTACATTTATAGATTTGCATATGTTGAACCAGCCTTGCACACCAGGGATGAAGCCAACTTGATCGTGATGGATAAGTTTTTTGACGTGCTGTTACATTCCGTTTGCCAGTATTTTATTGAAGTTTTCTGCATCAATGTTCATCATTGATACTGGCCTGAAATTTTCTGTTTTGTGTCTCTGCAAGGTTTTAGTATCAGGGTGATGTTGGGCTCATAAAATGAGTTAGGGAGGATTTCCTCTTTTCATATTGTTTGGAATAGTTTCAGAAGGAATGGTACCAGCTCCTCTTTGTACCTCTGGTAGAATTCAGCTGTGAACCCATCTGGCCCTGTACTTTTTTTGGTTAAGTAGGCTATTAATTGCTGTGTCAACTTCAGACCTTGTTATTCATCTCTTCAGAGATTCAGCTTGTTCCTGGTTAGTCTTGCAGGGGTGGGGAGTTTAAGAGTGCAGAAATGTAACCATTACTTCTAGATTTACTGGTTTATGTGCATAGAGTTGTTTGTAGTAATCTCTGATGATAGTTTGTATTTCTGTGCAATCGGTGGTGATATCATTTTTATTGTTTTTTTATTGCATCTATTTGATTCTTCTCTCTTTTCCATTAGTCTGGCTAGTGGTCTATCTATTTTGTTGATCTTTTCAGAAAACCACCTCCTGGATTTATTGATTTTATTGATTTATTGAAGAGGTTTGTATCTCTATACCCTTCAGTTCTGCTCTGATCTATTTCTTGTCTTCTGCTAGTTTTTGAATTTGTTTGATCTTGCTCCTCTAGTTCTTTTAATTGTGACATTAGGATGTCAATTTTAGATCTTTCCTCACTTCTCATGTTGGCATTTGGTGCTATAAATTTCCCTCTAGGCACTGCTTTAAGTGCAGGACACTGAAATAAGAATTTTCAGAATGGAACTGGGAGTATGTTCTCTGATTACCATTCAACTGAGGTTAAGAAAATACTACAAGTTTAACTAGGAAAAAATAAAATATTTGAAAATTAAGCTATACACATTTATATAAGTCAGAGGATAAAATGAATCACATGCATATTAATAACAATGTTGAAGTTGATAATATTTAAAATACTACATGCCACTCTTATGGGAGACAGGGAAAGCCAAACTTAGAAAATAGTCTATGATATATCTATCTGCATTTATCTGTGTGTGTGTGTGTGTGTGTGTGTGTGTGCGCGCGCGCGCGCATAAGAGGTTAAAAATAAAAATTAAGTAAATTCTAATAAAATACAAGGAAATAATTAAAATAATATGGTAATCAAAAGGTACATTAAAATAGTATTGTTCAAATTTTTAAATCATTCATTATAATATTTCTTAGAAAATACAAACACAAAAGAAATTCCTAAATTTAATAAATCACATACATAAAAATGTGTAGCACACGTTATATTTAATGGTAAAATGCTCAAAACTATCCCTGTGAAATCAGGACAAAATGCTTCCTACCATCCTTCTCACTATTTAAGAATGCAGTTTAAGCCCTAGCCAGTACAGCAATAAAAAACACATAAATTAATAAATTTTAAATATGGTAAAGAAGACATGGGAAACCTATTTTATTGGATGATAGGATATTACATCCAGATATTTGAAAGAAACCACAATAACTTTCAAATTAATGAGTCTATCAGAATTTCATGAACAGTATCAAAGACCAGTTACATATCTACATACCAGCATTTCTGCTGATATACATAAGTTCAATTGGTAAATAATATAAGATACCTGTTTACAAAACAGTAACATAAGAAACAAGCTAATAAAAGCTTATAAGACTTCTACAAAAGCAGTAAATTACAATTAAGAGGAATTTTAGAAAAACTGAGAGGAAGAAATTCCCTGCCCATATGCTACCCTCAATCCCTTCAAACATGCAGTGGTGAGAATTCTGTTCATTGATTATAATACAATCTACTTCTTTAAATAAATTAGAAGCCATTTTGGAACAGTTCTTCATATTGACTATTATTTTTTCATATTATTTAATTTTTTAATTTTTTATGTTTTAAAATTTATTTTTATTGCATTTTAGGTTTTGGGGTACATGTGAAGAGCATGCAAGATTGTCGCATAGGTACACACATGGCAGTGTGATTTGCTGCCTTCCTCCCCATCACTTATATCTGGCATTTCTCCCCATGCTATCTATCCCTAACTCCCCACCCCCCACTGTCCCTCCCCTATTTCACTATGACAGACTCCAGTGTGTGATGATCCCCTCCCTGTGTCCATGTGCTCTCACTGTTCAACACCTGCCTATGAGTGAGAACATGCAGTGTTTGATTTTCTGTTCTTGTGTCACTTTGCTGAGAATGATGGATTCCAAGTTCATCCATGTCCCTCCAAAGGACACAAACTCATTGTTTTTGATGGTTACATAGTATTTCATAGTGTATATGTGCCACATTTTACCTGTCCAGTCTATCATCGATGGGCATTTGGGCTGGTTCCAGGTCTGTGCTATTGTAAACTGTGCTGCAGTGAACATTCGTGTGCATGTGTCCTTATAGTAGAACAATTTATAATTCTTTGGAGATATACCCGGTAATGAGATTGCTGGATCAAATGGAATTTCTACTTCTAGGTCCTTGAGAAATTGCCATACTGTCTTCCACAATGGTTGAACTAATTTACACTCCCACCAACAGTGTAACAGTGTTCCTATTTCTCCACATCCTCTCCGGCACCTGTTTTCTCCAGATTTTTTAATGATCGACATTCTAACTGGCATGACATGGTATCTCAATATAGTTTTGATTTGCATTTCTCTAATGACCAGTGATGATGGGCATTTTTTCATATGTTTGTTGGCCTCATGTATGTCTTCTGTTGTAAAGCGTCTGTTCATATCCTTCGCCCACTTTTGAATGGGCTTGTTTTTTTTCTTGTAAATCTGTTTTAGTTCTTTGTAAATTCTGGATGTCAGCCCTTTGTCAGATGGGTAGATTGCAAAAATTTTTTCCCATTCTGTTGGTTGCTGATTCACCCTAATGACTGTTTCTTTTGCCGTGCAGAAGCTGTGGGGTTTGATTAGGTCCCATTTGTCTATTTTGGCTTTTGTTGCCAATGCTTTTGGTGTTTTGGTCATGAAGTCCTTGCCTACACCTATGTCCTGAATGGTTTTGCCTAGATTTTCTTCTAGGGTTTTTATGGTGTTAGGTCTTATGTTTAAGTCTTTAATCCATTTGGAGTTAATTTTAGCGTAAGGTGTCAGCAAGGGGTCCAGTTTCTGCTTTCCGCACATGGCTAGCTAGTTTTCCCAACACCATTTGTTTAATTTTTTTCTCAAAAAGGTACAAGTTTTACTTCTACTTATTCTATTAACATCAGTTCCAGTTATCTTTTCAGTGGTCTCTAATGTATACGTTAATGTTTTTCTTATATTTCAAATTTTGTTATGATTTTTTTCAACTCACACCCATTGCTATCTAATCCTATTTCTCTTAATCTGATCCTTATATGTGTTTATAGTATAATGTTCATTTTTCATAAGCAGTCATATTTGCCTGGGACACACTATGCATGGCATAACATTTTTTAAAAACTTATTATGGTCTCTGTACTAAATCATTTTCTGACAATCTGTTCTTTAAGTAAATATGCTCTCTTTGCTTTTGCAAAATTGTTCTTTATGTCATAGTTTTTTTAATTTTTCAAAAATTGTTATTGAATAATAGTAATTATGACAATATCTCAATTTTTAAAGCCAGATAGATGTCAAATGTTGTACAATCTTCAAAATAACTCAACAATTACACATGTGGGCAGAGAAGCTGAGATTTACATCCATATTGATCTAATTGCAAAGCCACCCACACCATACAATTGCATGTTAGTCTTTCCTGAAGGGGATCTTTCCAAACCTAGATTAATCACATAGCCTCTTTGTTTGTATGGACTTTTTATCATCTCTGTCAACCTGGACAAGTCCCTTTATCACATCTAAAACAAAATAGCAGCCTCCTATGTCAGAAATTTTAATTGCATGTTCAGACTCTAGTAAGATTTCATTGACCAGTAAGATTCATTTACTACTAGTAAGATTTTATGTAATTATTTCTATAGGTCTATCTTGGAAACTCTTTTCTACCTACTGTTTGTTTTACTGTATTTATAGTGTATTAAAAGTATGTGAAAAACACTGCACTACTCTGAGTTCTCCAGATTACATTTCTGTCATAAAACACTTTATTTCCAGAAAAGAAACCCATGGTGTTCAATGCCTAATTACCAGCATCTTCCATATCTCGTTTATTTGGTTTTTTGGAAATGCAGCTTTTGAATGGTTGTTGGGGGATAATTACTGCAGGAAGAAATGGATGAGTGAGAATCATGTCCTTGTTATTTTGAAAAACTCAGTCATGTAATGCTTCTTGTAACTTATGCTTCCGGGCTAGAGTCAGTTAAGTTTTTAAACATTTTTGTTTAGCTGAACATGGTGGGACAAGCCTATGGTCTCAGAAGCTAGGGAGGCTGAGGCAAGAGGATGACTTCAACCCAGGGGTTTGACGAACAGTGAGCTGTGATTATACAACTGAGCTCCAACCTAGGCAACACAGTGAAACCGTGTTTCTTACAAAAAAAAAAAAAAAATCTGTCACCACATTATTTTGTATTTCGGAATTGACAAAAAAGAAAGATAAATAAATCCATCAAGAATGCTTTTGGCTAGAAAAATACAAAGAACATATGTTATTCCAGAAAATTCGAAAGAGGAAATTACAAATTTAGGTTGAGGGCTTTCCATATTCATAAAATGTAAAACTGAAAAAAAGTTGGGTTTTCTGTTTCTCCAATGAATTCCGAGCATACCTTTAATATGCTGGAAAGTGGACCAGAGAGAAATTTCTCATATTGTTGTGCTACATTCCAGACATATATTGTTTGGGAAGCTACAGAGTTCTAAATATCTGGTAAGGAGTTTAAAATTTATACAATGGGCAACAGTAAACAATTAAGCACAAGTTATGGTATGGAGAATACCTTAGAAACATTAATTTGACAATAATATGTTGGTTAAATTGAAGGTACAAAACCAGGAGGGGAAGAAGTTAATATAAATAAGATGCCACATAAATCTGAGTCAGTGCGGTAGCCCTGAAAAATAGAAAAGATGATAGAAGTTAAAAATCATAGTAGAAATAAATTTTGTAGAACCTAACAACTCCTCAGATACAAAAGGTGAGGGAGACTAAAAGGCAGATAAAGCTTTCAGATTTTGAGCTTGTTTGAGTGAAATCTGGTGAGTTTCAGATTTTTGTTAAATATGAAGTACAACTACAACACATATGTGGAAGCATCCTACAAATAACCAGGAATACTGTATTGATTAAGAAGAGAAGTTAAGTTAGGGTGAGTGAAGAGGAACATAGAAAAATCATCAGCATGAAAAGTGACATTGATACTCTGCATGAAGACCTAAAAACTAAGCATGTTTACAGGTGAAAGGTAAAGAAGCCTTAGAGAAATAAAAACTGAAAGTATGAGGCAATGCTTCTCATTATTTTACTAAGTAATATAGAACTTTTCCAAATTTTCTTCAACACATTTCCAATAGGCTTATAACATATGCCAAGACTCTAAAGAAGTCTATCAAAATAAGAAGCATTTTACTCACTTGAAAAGTGACAAAGTTATTCATTTTAAAGTAACATATAAATATTTATAATTTTATAAGATACTAATAAATGTTTCTAAGATTTCAAGTGATATTTTAGATGATTCGGACATAGAAACCACTTTTATTTGAACTTGAGCAATTGTAACACACAATATTGTGCCTCCAGCTCCTATTATAAGTAGGTTTTAACTGTAAGAGACTTCCTCACGTTGTTACAAAAAAATATTAAGGAGTCACCTATCTATGGTAGTAGTTACAAGAATCAGTGTACATGTAAAAAGTAT